GTTTTTGAGTTAAATAAATTTTTAATTGCAATTGTAGCTCACATATTAAACATATTTTTGAGTTAATTAAATTTTTAGTTGCAATTGTAACTCGCATATCAATGAAGCAAGTTCTTCTTATGCTTAACTTTCATGCTAAACATATATTATTTTCATTATGTAATTCTCTTTTAGAGCAGAAAAGAGTTGAGTATTCAGTTTAATATGTGCCATGCATTTTTGTAAAATGCGTAAAGTTCAATGTGGTAGAAGTAAAAATTATTTTAAATAGAATAATTTTCTCTTTATTCTAATCCGTTGCCCTTTCCAGTATAGTTTTTGAATATTTCAGTTTTGTGTAGTATAAATACTAAATATTTGAATTATAATTACCTTTAAATCTTGCATTATAAAACTCTAGCTTTTTTTTTTTTTTTTTTTTTCCTATTATTTTCCTATTTGTGTCTAATTTGTAATGTAAACATTTCGAAAAATGTTTAAAACTTCATACTTTTTAACCATTTTACTATCTAATTAAGCAATGTTTGCGTATTTTTAGAATTTTCTATACTCTTAAGAAGGGATATTTTGTATTTTTAGATATATTTAATGTATTTGGCATTTTTATGTATGTACATGTGGAACCATGTTGTTTAACATACAGAAATTGCTTTCGAATCTACAGTTGTATCATTTTTTTGTGTGCAATAAAGAAAAGTAAATTTTTAGCCATTTCTTTTTATTTCAGTATCTGTTATCTTCACAATAGTTGCATAACAGCTATTAGCTGCAGTTCTGTTTGTTTATATCAGTGGTTCCCAGACTTACTGTACATGAATCATTTCTTCTAGCAAAAACCTAACCATGAACCCCTAAGCGAAGTAATTCATAACTGCATGTTTAACTTTCATGTCTTAAATGGTAAGTGGTGACGTAAAAATTAAAATATAAACAAAACATTTTGGTAATCAAAGAAGTATTTATCGAAATTATGACTTTTGTTTTAAAATACAAGAATGCATTAGTTTTTCCTTCAGTGAAATGCATGAATCTGACGGGATGATACGAGATTATTTATGTTTGTGAGTAACATTCATAAGTTGCCATGATCCCTCCCGTCGGCTTTTCTCTCCCCCCCCCATGATGAGGCTTTTAACTTATTGCACTAAATCCTCATTCTGCTAAATAAGAAGCAATGTGGCCCATAATGCAGGATATAAAATTGGTTTTGTAACCAGAATTTGTGGTATCCTTGTTCAAACACTGGTTTCAGCTCCTCATTTGTGAATACTTCAATAAATTGCTCCTATACGAATTAATATGGATTCGTTTGAGTTTGTGGGTCTACTTCCAAAAGGGTCTAACACACAATCGAAAATAACCGAGTGAAGAAGCTGAGGTAAGAATGAGAGCTAATAAATTTAATTGATTACATTATACCTTCAATTTGGTGCCACGAAATTTGGCAAATCAGTCAATAATATAAGCTATGTCATATTTTGAATTAATTATAACTGAGCTGCAAATCATTTTCCGTAATTTCCAGGAATTCCAACAAAGGGCGTAATATCGATCCAAACATGGACTTTTATATTACCAATGAACTTCTGTATTCAGTATGGAATGTTTTATTATGCCAGAAATTCTCGGTGTCGTCCTACCATTGCCTGAACACTGTCAGTAGCAAAATAGAGGATATTATTTAAATGCATAGCTTTTGCATTGAAAAATCTTTTTAATTCATTAAGTTTCATTGTTTCACCTTTCGAATCAGTTTCCAAACATTTGGTAAATAGCAATTCTGGAAGTTTTACATCTTTTACAAATCTCTCATAAAGCTTTGTTTCCTGTCAAAGTTGACTCTCAATCTGTATAGACTATAGAGAATTCATATGTTTTTAAGAACTCACATAAAGAATTATCTACGCACATATACATGAAATGGCGTAGATAAAGAATTATGTACGCCATTTCAACTATCTTTGCACTGTATTACTACTCTGTGGAATTCTTTTAATATCGAAAGCTAGTTTACATAACACGGTGGATATTGCCTCATCTGCAGATGGTAGAATCGGTTCTTCACCAATGATATGCGACTTTGCGATCAAAAAAGTATTATAAGGAGCACGTAGTCCATCGCTGTCTCGTTTAGATGTTCCAATGACGGTATGTTTTAAATATTTTTCTTCCACTGCTTTTAAAAAAGTTAAGTCTTTATCTTTTTGTTTTAATGCGCCTATTGCCAAATGTTCCTTAAGCTTCATTGATTTGTTTGACGAAATTTTATTGCATAGAACCCTGCTAGGAAAAGTAATATATCCTGATAAGCCATCATTTAAATATTCAGTGCTATATTGTCTGCGTTTTTTCTTCGGCTCACACATACTGTTATCTGTAAAAAAGACACAATTTGTTTAACATTATTCAGAGCTTAAAAATTGCGTTTAATTTATTTATTTTAACTTTCACAGTAATCAAAGTAGGTAAAAATTATTTTATTTTATATTAAACTGTTCATGGACCCCCGAACATTGTCCACGCACCCCCAAATTAATTTTAATATGCCTCAGATCCCTTTAGCAGTCGTAAGAACCCCTGTGGATCCCAGGGATCTCTTTCTTTAGCCCTGTGTGGATCCGTAGAGACCACTGCTTTATATAATCAAAGAAAGTAGACGAGAAGGAGAAAGTGCGTCTCTCTCTTAGCAATTGTGTGCAAATAGTCGTAAATTAAAATGGAACTTCAATATTTCATGACCCACCAAAAATTGTCATGATTCACACTTTAGGAACTGGTGATTATTAGAGGGATTGGTCTGGTGTGGAAATTCCTTCAAATTCTCTGTCTCTGGAGAGGAATTAATTATGATTGGTTTTAATCTTCTAGTGAAAGTTAGAGGGATTATTATATACCAAATTACATATTTTACAATTTCTTGGTTATTGTTTTCAAATCTCTATCTGCATAGTATCGCGGTATATTATCTGTGTAGTTTGCAAAAATAACATCGTCTGGTTCCACAGATAGTTAATACATGCGTGAATGAACAAAGGGCTTAGATCCTAGATTCTCAACGTGGGCGATTACACCCCCTTGTGGTCATTTGAGACTTTTAGGGGGCAGTAGAAGACTCAGAGAATATTAGGGTGCGTTGAGATGGCACGAAGGGGCGTAGGCAAATTTAAAAAAATATATATTGTCTAAAAAAGACCCCCAAAAAAAACACTAATCATGTACTAACTACAGTAAACTTTAATATTGGGGCGCTATTTCAACTTTACTACCCCCTATACAATATATAAAAAGACATATGTAATTTAGTCTAGGGGGGTAGGAAAAGTGAACTAAAGGTCAATTAATTTTTATTTTACCCCCAAAAAATGGAAATCTTTTGGAGGAGCTTGCAAACTTGGAATTGTTTGATAACATTTTTGTAGTTAGTGGAGGAAGTAGTAGCAAAAGAAGAATAGAAACAATTACTTATTTGTAACAAGAAAATGTTATAGTTAGTTTTACGTTGTGTCTGATGAGTTCCTTTATACTCAGCAGTAATGAGAATTAATAAATTATAGCATGATTTTGTTACTGTATCTGGAATACACACTAATAGCTTTACAAATGTATGATTATAGTTTAAGCAACTATACCTCGCAAGAGGAGATACTAACATAACCTAATAACCTAACTTTATTTATAAAGCTAATTAAGTACATAGGAAAAGTTGTTTTAATGGCCACTGATAGACTTATATGATTAATGATTTATATAAAATTCTGCTTTTAAAAAATAAACCAACATTTTTTTTTTTTTTTTAGTATACGTTTTTTTAGTTGTTTATAAATATTTGAGGGGGGTAGGAAAACTGAACTAGTGCCAATATTAGTTAATTTTTGTTAATGTACGTATTTTAATCACGTGGGCAAAAATTCACATATTTCTGTAGTTCGGGAAGTGGATGAAAATTGAACTTAAAAGATTCCATTACATTCAGATCTACAGTAACTTGGATAGTATAAAAAATTTTTATTTTAGATTTGAATTAAAAATTTTCAAATCATTCAATTTCACGTGAAATATCTCACATATAAATGCAGGTAAAGTTAACAAAAAATAGAAAAAAAATATGTTTGAAGGACTTCAGTTCTAATAAGTTTTTGTTAAATAACGTGATTTTTGCAATCCTGCAGGAATTGAGTATTAATCTGTATTAATCTGTGCTTGTTCTAACCCGCACTCTGCTCCCGCATCACCCTTGCTCCCGCGCTTTACTTCCGCGCCGAGTGTTATAAATGAGTCACTGCACGTTTATGTTATTCCTGTCAATGTCTATGCGTGTTGTATGTCTCCAACCTAAACAAAGGCAATGATTGTTCATTTTAGTTTCATTAGCATTAACGCCCATAGAGCTGTAACAGGTCTATGTTAACGCTCGCAGTTGATGACAGGGTTTTAAAAGTTGATATTTCCACTGTTGAGAGATACCTCTCTAGTATTGTAACGACGGCGAGTTTTCCCGAGATGGGAGACCAGACAGGTTATCTTTATGATGTTTAATGAAAACTTAATTCTTGGTTGAACAAAAGATGAATTATGTTAAAATTGGCATTAGAGCATTGAATAAAAACGAAGCAGACTATTCGCTTCCGCTGACACAATCTTTGCGCCCTATTCACGGCACATCCATCACAGTTCTCCGCGCATCTTTTAGCATTCTCAAAGTCTTTCTTTTGGGTCTCCCTGAGCGGATCTCCCGCAGGGTACTTAACACCAGTTTTTCCCATAAGAAAAAGGAAATAGTTAATTGAAAACTTGCGCTGTTTGTCTCGTATTTTGGGGTAATGGAAATAGTTAATTGAGAACAACCGTCTTTTGGCACGTATATTTTATTTTTACCAGCTTGTGACAGCTAATGTCAACACGTTTCTTGTCACAGTATATATAGTTTATAATAAATAACTCTTAACTTGGATATATCTAACATTCACTACTACTACTCACGTATCTGTAAAGTAAAGACCATGTCAGAAGCAAAAAAGAAGAGATGGCAGTATAGCGTGGATTATATAAAATACGGATTTATCGAAAATCCCACGAATCCATCATCGCCAATGTGCTTTATTTGTCATAAAACATTTTCAAATGAAGCTATGAAGCCTTCTAGGCTTCAAGAGCATTTTAATAAAATATACCCGAATAAGAAAGACAAAGATTTGACCTATTTTCAAGACATGAGAAAAAAAAAAAAAGAACGAAATTCAGCCAACTATATCAAACCTTTTTCACCAGCTTCTAAGCAAGACAATGACTCGTACAATATCTCATTGTTGATTGCTAAAATAGGCAAACCACATACTATTGGAGAAGATTTAATTTCACCAGCAGTAAAAAGAGTAATAACCACTGTGCTCTATAAACCAGCTACAGATATTATCCGAAAAATGCCTTTGAGCAATAGTTCTGTGTAAAGACGAATTGATGAGATGGCTGAAAACATTGAAAAATCATTGTGCAATCATCTGCAGACTGGTCAATTTTCAATTCAGCTGAATGAGTCCACTTTACCAACCAATGAAGCATTGTTATTGCCATACGTGACATTTATCAAAGATGAAAAAATATGACAAGAACTATTGTTTACTACCAATTCGGAATCAGATACAAAAAAAGAAACCATAGTCAATACATTGGAAAAGTTTTGTGACAAAATGAAATTCCTTTTAATAATATTTTGTCAGTTGCTACGGATAGCGCACCGGCTATGACAGGGCGTCACAAAGGCTTCGTATCGTGCTTAAAAAATAAAGTTCCTGACGTGCTTGCTGTGCATTGCATAATTCATTTCCAACATCTGGTTTCGAAAAATCTGAGTGAACTCCTCCATACATCACTGCAATATGTTATCAAAGCAGTTAATAAAATTAGAAGTAGCTCGTTGAACGACAGATTATTTAGTCAGCGTTTGCATTGCCAATGAAGATTTCAACCGATTGCTGCTTCACACAGAGGTGCGCTGGCTGTTAAAAGGTACTTGTTTGACTCGATTTTACAATCTGTTTGAGTCTGTGATAGAGTTTCTAGGAAACAAAGACACGGTATTGCGCGACACCCTCATCTCATGAAAGAACGATCTTGCGTATTTGACAAACCTGTATAAATTGTTTAATAATGTCAATCTCCAACTTCAAATAGACGAAACTTGATTAAGACAAAAAAAAAATAGCTTTGTTTTCGTGTCAAAACTGCTGTTATACAAAAGAAATATATGAAAATTCGAATTCAATAACTTCCCAAATTTACCAGCAGTATCATTCATGTCCGACAACTTGCTTGCATACTGTCAACACTTGGAAATCTCCACAGTGATTTCGAGGAATGAATGCAGAATATTCTAAACATGGACATACCAGACTGGGTTTTGGATACTTTTTCAAATGTCAACACAGCAGGATCATCCCAGTTAGAAGAAGAACTAATAGAACTTACGACAAATGAAGAATTAAAAATTAAATTCAAGAATGGCTACGTTTTGCAACTGTACCCAAGATTATGATCGATTGTTCAACGATTTCTGATAGCATTCCCCATCTTCCTATTTAGCTGAACGTGGATTTAGTGCTGTAGCGACGTTGGTAACTAAAAAGAGAAATCGGCTCTATGTTACTGAACGCGGCGACTTATCCCTTTCCGGCACGCTACCTTTTAAAGTCGGAGTTTTGATATAAAAAGAAAATGTAGACAGCCTAATTAGACCTAGAGGAGTACACAAGTAAAATTTTGTGAAGATAGCACCTATCGTTTATTTCTGTGGGTGTGCCCGAAGAGGGCACACTGATTGAATAGAGCTTCGAAAAGAGTACTGAAACGAGCATTGGCAATGAACTGACCGAAGAGATGGGAGGAAGAGAACAAAGAATACAGACTCTCAGTTGTCCTAGATTATGGGGCCCGGTCTGGGCACACCTAGGGTTCGCCGTTTGATTTTAGGCAAGATTTCAAGGTAAAAATTTAAAATAATAAGAATAAGGAGATTAGCATACAGCCAAAAAAATGACATAGAAATTTCATTTCACAATCCCCTTTTATACCTAACAAAAATCTGGACGATTTCTTTGAAAATGAGGGTCTTAAAAAAAAAAACATGGCTAAAATATATACACTGATTTGGGTTGAGCTGCCATCTACTATAAATAAAGAAAGTTCAGAGTAACCTATAAATCCTTTTTCATTCAATTTTTCTACGCGTACAGAAGAAAATTTTTAGGTGTGTCCAGACCGGACACACTGTGCCGCAAAGGGTTAACGGTTGGTTTTAATTAAAATAAAGCCTGATTTTAACAAACTCCTTAAAAATGCATCAAATTCAACCTTCTCATTAGATAAGTAATAAATCAATGTCTTTTGGATGTTAATAAAAATACATTTTAATATAATTAAGTATGCGTTTTAATTGTTCTCATTGAAACAGTCTTCTTTAAACTCAGAATAAGGATATGGTCATATCCTATCTTCTGACCATAATATATAATATTACACGTTTAAATATAATCGTGGCAATAGCTGTTTCAGATTCGCAAATAAAAAAAAAAACGGGGGGTGCTTTAGAGAAAAAAAAAAAGATTTTCAAAGTGGGGTGGTGATGGGCAAAATAAGGTTGGGAACTTATGGCTTTGATGTAACACATAGACACTTTTTCCAGAGTTTACAGTTAAGTACTGTCTTCTTTTAATGTGAAATATTGCTAATATAATTTACTAATATATAAAATAATGGGTATGGTGTTTGTTAGCTGCAAACTTAAATATTATAGGAAGTCACAATACTTGATAATTTTTTTCTCTTTATTTAAAAATAAAATTATGATGGTTCAATGCTGTATGCCAACACAGTTGTTAAGTTGCTGTAACTGTTGTTAGATCTCACAGGATTATAGAAAATCATTACTATTATAAATGGTTTGTCATTTGTTCTAGTGGTACTTGTACCAGAAACATGCATTGTCAGGCAAACAATTGCCTTTTTTGAGTATATCTGAAAGCTGTTAATGATTTAGTCATATTCCCGTGCATTTTGGTCTTTAAATTTATAGCTATATTACCCATTTATAGGTTTCCATTGTAGGTGGGCTTTAATATATTTATTCTTTTATATTAAAGAAAAATTTAAAAGAAAAGAAAATTTAAATATGTGATCCAAGAACAAAACAGTTATAAATATTAAATGATTTATAGAAATCCTTCCTTTAATTAAAGATTTGTGTTATTTGAAAAAAAAATAATTATATGCTTCCATATTATATATATGTATGATAAATCGCTTAAAGAATGAATACCCTAAATCTTTCAGGAATTCAGATGTAGAGTTAATTTATCATTCTGGTAAAAGACAAGCTTTTGATACACTTTTTTTAATTTATCTTTTCTGTCAGATGTAAGCAATATTAATTCAGTTGATGAAACTTACGGCAGGAAAAAGATCTCCATAATTTATCCTTCTCAATCATTTTTATATCCTTGTACGAAGTGAAGAAAGTATTATAACTAGGAAAATTTTCGGGTATCATATTTCAATGAAAATATCCATTTTGACTGCTCTCGAATCCATTTGAACGATTTTTTGTGCTGCATCTGTACATGCAGACAGAATAAAGAATTGTTTTTCCCAAACGGATTGTAAAATGGTCTCAGATGAGATTTTCTTCTTGACATCTACATTCGTACAGATATGTATCTCGCATAACTCAAAAAGGAGTAGCTGTAGAACGTTGAAATTCTGTATATGGGACTGCTATGAAACGTAGTTGTGCACTTCCCTTTTTCACTGCAATGGGCCGTAGCCAACTTGTATATATATATTCCTACTCCTTACCCGGCTCGGTGAGTTCAGTTCTTATATGTTGGTAAATTGTTGGTCTTTGTTTGCTTTAAATGTGGTTGAATTATATTGTTCTCATGTTTCGAATAAGCATTTTATGCCTTTATTTAATCTGCATCCAATAGTTGTAGAATTATCAAAAGTTTAAAAGTTTAAGTGGCGCTAGGCCTAACGAGGCCGACATTTGTTTACATTTGAAGCTCTTAGTAGAATAAAGTTAGTTGGTACACCAACTTAAGTGTCTTTTTGCGCAGTAGGACCAAATGTTAACTTTAAATTTTGTGCACCGAAAATCTTTCTTCCACGTTGGCCAAATTACTTGTTACACAAAAGAAACTGAGTTTCTTTACCATAGACGGCTATGATAAAAAAAACTCAATTTAAGGTCTGAAAAGAGAAATGATCGAAAATTAAGCATCCTAAAAAACACGATGTCTAAGCCAAAACAGTTTATAAGACACAGCAATTCACCAAACACTGCTATGACAGATGATAAAGATGAAATTGAATGGATCAATCAATAGTTGCTGTCAACCTGCAGACAAGCTTGACTTTAACCTCTTGGATTTAAGATTCTTTAATGCCATACAAGCATTGCAACATCATTTCGCGCCTACCAACATAGACCGATTTATTCAAGCTATTTGTACTTCATTCAATGCAGTAAATGTCAAAACATTAGACGATGTTTTGTTGACATCGACAAAACATTAGACGCTGTCACAGAATGCGCTATGCAGATTGATGCAGGAAATAATCTTAAGCTGCTACACATGAAAAAAGCAATGCTTCGATCTCAAAACACGCTCCTAGAATTCAAAAAATCCCTTAATGTGGCCCATGAAGCAATAAATAATTTTAAAATTAAATAACACGTAATATATAATTAGTGAACGGGCACCTTGAAATTAGCGATAAAGCATTATTAAATATTTTTTGTCCTTTTTACTTCCTTGAACGAAGTAAAAAGGAAGTATTGTAATCGCGAAAAGTTTCAGGCAGCTATTAAGAAATATCCTTTGACCGCTACGAATGCAATTTTTACGATGTTTTGATGATATCTGTACGTAAAGACAGAAAAGACTCGTTTCCTCCAAAAAAAATATAAAACTGTTTAAAATTAATTGAGAGAATTTTTCGTGGCGCCTGTAAGCACGTATGCACGCACGTAGTAAGATCTCGCATAACTCAAAAAGAGTAGCCTCAGAACGTTGGAAATTGTATATGGCTGCGATAACATGTAGATGCGCACCTCGATTTGGGTTGCATCGGGAGCACAACGATATAAATATCTATATATATCCACTCTGTACCCGGCTCGGTGATTCAGTTCTTTATCATCTGTTTGTGGTTGTCGGTTTATGTTGTACTCTTATATGTTTGTAAATTGTACATTTTTGCTTTAAAAAATGATTGAATTATGTTGTTTTATCTTCGATTAAGGTTTTATGCCTAGTAAATTGTATGCAATATTTTTAGAATTATCAAAATTTAAAGTTGTTTAAGTGCCGCTAAGCTATACTTCTTGATGCGGCCATGTTTGTTGATTGAAAGCAGGATAGTGGATTGTGCAATCAAGAAACTAGCTTCGCAACAACGAAGTACGCCTTCATTTATATTGCCATAAATCATGCTTCCTTTCTGGAATTTTTTCGAGGAATAAGTGTTTAGATTTCTTTGTAATTTTAATATAAATATTTGAGCTTTATGTATTTTGCTTCTCGCGAAGGAGACTGAATTTTGAATGAGAAATACTCAATGTCTGTTGAAAAACTGTTTCTTTGTGGTTTGTTGCTTAATTTCTATAATCATTCGAGCTTTTTATAGATGACTGACATGTGCACGATAGAAATTCTATTCTTTAATGATATAAATTTGTGCATTAGCATATTATATGAAAGAAAATAATACGTTAATTGATCTAGAGCCAGGGTCGCTTGTGGTAAACAATACTAGAGTGACTTTTAAAAAATGATTTTTATTGTGTTATGCGCTGCGGCGAATAGATTATTCATCAATAAGTTTAAATGAATGCAGAAAAAAATGCGTATAATTTAATATTTCGTACAAGGAAGTCATGTGGTGTACACATCAGATTTTTTAATATTATTTCGATACAAATATTTATACAAATAGGGCAATCATTTTTATATGAAAGGAGTACGTTTAAACAATAAGGTTTTAATCATCTAGTAATCAAAGTTTTGAGCCTATTAATGAGTAATGTTTACTAAACATATTTCAAGTGCTAACTAATTTTACCAACATAATTCAAGTAGAATAAGTTTTACTAACATATTCCAAGTGTAGTAGAATAAGTTTTACTAACATATTCCAAGTGTGTTTTTGTTGCTGTTCTGATCTTAGAAATTCTAATTTTAAATCGTGTTTACCCACGGATCAAATATCTCCTGCCATTTTTTCTAACGATTTTTTACTGCTATATCTTCGGCGAAAATCGTGCTATTTGTGATCATTTTTATTTACATTGTTATTAATTCGATTAAAAATGAAAGATATTGTTTTGTTAATTTGAATTATTACTCCAAACGAAAGCTGGGAAGAATCTCATTATTTATGCACTTATTAGTTATTATTAATAGAATATTTAAAGACATAAAAAGTCATAACAAATAAGGAGGAGTCATCCTTAGTAAAGGATTAATAATTAATTATCTTTACTTATTTAAAGACATAAGAAGTCATAACAAGTAAGGAGGAGTAATCCTTAATAAAGGATTAATTTCTAATACTAAGGAGTAATTCTTAGTATTAGATAGTTAATAACTTTCATTAATCATGTAGTGCACTTGAAGAGTAAGGCTTATTGATATCAAAATTGGCGAAGTAAACCGAGAAAAATGTTTGAAACTTCTTCTCGTACAGTGATCTAAAAGTTGTCAGCTTCTTCTGGAATTCCATTGCGAGAGAGCACCAATCATAAGCTCGTCTGGTATTTCCGAAAGATAACTTTCGTATTCCACAGTTCCAGCATTTAATCATTGTCCACAGGATCTAGAAGAAAGAATAAAGAAATCCAAGAGAATCTGTACTTCTAAAAATATATACATCTGATATTTTTAGCCTCGTAGGAATATGACAGATAAATTAATTGATAAAGGATTCTCAGTGCTCTAGTCAAAAATCAAATCCCAATTTACTTCCAAGAGATGATGTTTAGACAAGAGATGACAAACTTTTATAAACTAAGAGGAACCCTTAATATAACTTACAGCTTTTTCGGAACCAGTGGGTAAAACTAAGCACTGTTGTAATGTTTAGTTCGCGATAGTTTAGAGCAGGGTTTCTTAAACATTTTGGTCTGGAGACCCCATAATTTATACGAAAATTTTGGGGGATCCCAAAATTGCGCAAATCCAACACGCGTACTGTCAGTTTCTTCACTTGCAATGTAATATACTATTGCAGTTTTAGATCATTAACTTTCATTTTAAAAGTAAAATGAACGTTTCTATAATTAAAAAAAAATGCGTCGAAAATGTTTTCGTTTTTCCTTTGTCTGTATTGTCTTACCTTTATCTATTTTCAGATACATTATATGAAAATATTTGGTAATTGTAAAATTGTTATAATAATTTAAAGAAATATCAAAATTGCTAAAATTTTTGGCTACCCCCTGCTGCAGGTTCCTGAGGCCGCGACCCACAGTTTAAGAAACTCTGGTTTAGAGTGTTTGATTAAGCTGTAAATTTAACAGTCCAAAAATAATAGCCAGAACTTTTTAAGTTGATATCATTTTATGCAAATCCAGTTATTTTGTCTCTTGCCTAACATGCAAATTATCCTCCTTTTTTAAAGTGGGGTAATTACTAATTTCCAGTAGAACAAGGGAAATATAATTGTTTACCTTATCAAAATAACTATACATTGGTCTTTGGAACCGGATTCAAATCTTGACAAACTAGGTGTCTGCTTGGGCATTTTCATGGATTTCCATATACACTGACTACCAATAAGTATTTGGACACCTATGCATATGACGATATCTGCGGTCCTAAGTACGTCACGGACTCCGCCGGTATATATCGTGTAGGAAACAGCATCGGCTTTAGTCGCATGCAAGATGCCTCGCAGTTTCGAAGCCTCTGATTTCGAAAAGGTAATTTCGGGTATCACAAATGTGGCCGATCCTTGACATACTAGCGATAATACCCAAAATCGCATGGCCTATGTGTTAAGAAGTGGAAGGAAGCGGTGTTTGTCGGAAATGTGCCCCGAGTCGGCAACCAACGAAGCTGGGAGATAGAGACCGACGGGCTGTCCAGAGAAATTCGGAAGAAGCACTCAACCGATGGCCCTCATCCGCGAGGAGTTTCACAGGATCATGAGTATTGTTCAATGAATACTATCCGTAAGGAAGCAATCTTGGTTCATGGTCGTGCTGCTGCCATAAGCCTTTGATCACAAGCCAATCGCGCACTCGGTTAATGTGGTGCAAACCACATCGAAATTGAACCGTAGATCAGTGAAACGGTCTTGGATGACGATCAAGGTTCACCCTTGCCGTTCGGATGGCAGGGTGGGTCTGGCGTCGACCGGAAGTCTCTGCCAGAATGCATTGTGCCAACAGTTCAAGTTCGGCGGAGGTGGAATTATGTATGGGGGTGTTTCTCCTAGTATGGGCTGGACCCTTGGTCCCCATTCATGGTAAGCTCAAATCCGATGCCTATGCACTATTTTGGATGGCAATGTGCTTCTACGTTGTGGCAGTTTTACGGGGTGGACTCCTGTTACTTTCAGGACGACAATGCCAGTTGTCATGTTTCGACTTTAACCAAGGTATGGTATGGTTGCCAATGGAGTCTCGAATGGACTGGATGCCCAGAGTCCAGACCTAACCCTATCGAAACATCTGGGTGAGTGCATCGCCGAATTCAGGGGTTGCACTACCCGCAAAATCGGTTGAAGGAACTTCTATGTCTTCTTCAAGCCGAGTGGAGAATACCACTAGCTCATACAAAATTGTGAAAAGTATGCCCGGAGGGTCCACGATGTATTACCTCTCGTGGAGGCTCTACCAACTATTGATTTTGAATAAAGTTAGTTTTTCTTTTCTATCACAGGTGTCCAAATACTTATTGGTAGTCAGTGTATAAGTTCACTATGATTTATTTCCCCTAAAATGTCCTCCGCAAAGGCACCCCTTTCGTTAGAAGAATAACCTTTGTATGCTTTGCGTAACTGATTAAACAAACAACTAAAAGTTTATACGTCATAGTTATTCGAGAAATGTAAAAAAGTAGGTTCATTAAAACTAACCAGAACCACAAACACCTATTACAAGTAGAGGCCTTTGTTGAAACTATTATTACTACTTCCGGGTAATTTTAAGGTACTGTATCACAAATCAGAAAATTAACATTTTTCTTCGAGAAGGACAATGATGTTTGTCACAACTTGCATCTTAAATTTCAATGTGTAAATAATGAAAGAAGCTTCATGCTGGCATTTTGAGAAGGTTTTGAATGGAGTATTTTGAACTGTCAGCTCAAAATATTGCAGAATTCTCTTCTAGAGTAAGTACGAGACCATTTTATTCACAATGAGAAAAAAGTTCGATAATTCTGTCAGAAAAGTAGAAGAATAATATAGTATCTTGGAGATAATTATTAGTCTGTGTATATCCTTACAAGTCTGGACACTGTACACTAGTTCAATTCGCCAGCTATGATAAGATTGAAATTATTCGGCTTTGCATTATAGCTGCCATCAGTTTAAATTGTACGTCGCAGACAAGTGCTGAGCTAATTCAAATTAAAGTTAATTTTAAAGTTAATTTTAATTAAAAAGTCTTCGACTACTAGGCGTAGTTCAAATTCTGAACTTTACTGTTACTTTAAATTGCATCGCCACAAGGGGTGGCTGATATTGAGAGCTCGAGACGTGCATTGATGTTCAAGTCTTGATTTTAATAAAAAGATTATTTTAACTTTTTCAGACTCTGCAGTTCATTTCAGATACAGCGATAATTCGTTTAACGTCTGTTAGGAATTTGATACTAGTTTGTGCTCCCAAAGATAGTCAGACTCTAAATATAAAGATTACCGTTATGAAAAAACTGCCAGTTGCTTAATTTAAAGCAAAAAAAGTTGTGATATAAAGAATGACAATCAACTCATTCCAGAAATATTTCTAATCCTGACTGATATGCAAACGACACCTTTTTGTTAACAAATAATAAATATTTTTCATTAACATTTACGAATTGCATATCCTACAGAGTTTAAACTCAGAGTCAAAATAACAATTACTTCGATTTGTGGGTAATCTTTCATTCCATTTCCTATGAGATTTAACAAATTCTTGCATTCTTTCATACTGTCCTCTTCTGTAGCGAAAGACTTAAACTCTTGAGCGTAGAAGAGGATCTAAGAAAAAAAAATGAAATATTTGGAGGCAAATTTCAAACATATCATTTCAAAAATGAAACGTGGTCCCCATGCAAGGCAAATGTTAAAATCTAGTATTTTCAAAATAATATGAAATTATATAACGTAACGTTAACATAAAAAATTTAGTAATTACGTAAGTATTAGTAACTGCTTTATGGGATTCTTTGAAAAATATAAGTATTCTTTGAATAAATGCCGCATTATTTGAATAAATAAAAGTATTTCTTGAATACGTTCCGAATTCTTGGTATAAATAAAAATAATTTGAGTGTTATTTACTTTCACTTTTGCTTTCCCTTTAGCTTTAAAAGAACTAAAGCTACTTATGAAAGTAAATAATGCATTAAGGATGAAGGCAGTAAAATGAAAGTGATATGAATATTAATTTTAGATTATTCTCAAATACGCAGAAATATCAACGGTTACTTATAAACGGTTACTTATCGATGGTTACTTATCAACGGTTACTTATTATATAGTTTAGTTCAACGGTTACTTATAAAAGTAAGCATTTATAACTCATTTATTAAGATGCTTAGTAATGATATTTAGAATGTTTTCCATGTATGTTGCAAACTCTGTTCTAATTAGTAGTGTTATTCTTATTATTCTTTGTTTCCGCTGAGGAAAACTGAAAAATAATGGCATCCCAACACCCTTTCTGTAAGAATTTTCTTTTCTGAACATTCCAGATTAACTGAATTACTCATGCTACAGATGTGATGTAAGAAGGCGAGAAAAATTTATCACGTGTTAACGGCGTATTTTAAATTCATTAATATCAACACTATTGTAGCTCCTTCTGTCAGAAAATACCTGAATAAATTAGAATTCAAATTGTATTTTTATATAAAACTCTTTTCTTTGCAACGGTCACGCGCATTTTTATGCTCCGAAATTATCACTCACGGATTAGAGGAAAAAAAAGAGAGATTTCTGTATATTAAAGTTGAACAGTTCATTAAATGCCTAATTTTGGTAAAAGAATCTAGATTTTGCACTGAACACATCCTGACAGATAAAGATTTTAAGTTTCAAGTTATTTGGATATAAGAAAATCAACAATGCAATAATAAAGGTAACACTTTTCAACGTAATTTTGGGTAGAAGAGGTTAAAAAGCTTAGCAGAGCATTGCAACAGAAATACAGTATATATTTTTCTCTTTATTTTGATATTAAATTTATTAAAAATATAATTCTGTTATCTAGTAACACAGAGACTTCCTATCTTTTGAATTGCATTTAATTTCAAATTTATATTTAATTTTATTTAATCTGTCATTTTTCATCATTGTGTAACTAGCTTCCTTAAAATATCGCATGCATTAATGCTTGTCAACTGTTGTAAAGAGAGAAGTAGAGGGCGCTGCTTGGCAGTAGCGTAATGCATGTAAGTAGAAACGAAATGTCGTTTGATTAGGCAACATGATTTCTGTGAAGGTAGTCCACCTAACAATAGGACAGTTGTAAATATGTAAATATAACGAATAATAAATAGCATTAGAAAACTGAACCATCGAATGTTTTGTGATTGCTCTACGGGCCGCCATGGATAAATGCAGGTTCGTCACATCAACTGCCGCAGTAATAGGATATTTATTGTTAAATATTAGATTTAATTTAATACTAACTCTTATTATCAATAAATGTATTTATTTTACTATAAGAATAAGTGAAGCTAAACTTCTCAATCCCTTTTCATATTTATCCAACAAACATTAAAATACTATTACACTTTCATAAAATCAAATACAAATAATAATAAAAATAATAATTTAACTTATATTGACTGACACTGTTGGCTAATCTTAAGAATATGGTAACAGGTAGTTTGGCGACATTTTGGTAAGGCGATAAAGGTTACTAGCTAGGACTTTAGCAGTGTACATGGATAAAGTCAAGAGTGTGCGCAATGCCATTTTTGTGCAATTCTGGGATGTTTTTTAAAGTGAAAATAGGTCAACGTGTACATGGATAACCGTGTATCTGCAATTCTTAAAAAACGCGGCCAAGTGGACGATCTGCACTTCTCCCAATTTCGCACCTAATCTTCGTCATGATTAAGCACTTTTGTTCCATAAAAGTTCTAGCATAAGCGTAATTCGGCTAGCAGATTGTTGGGAAAAAAAATGTTGGGTAAAAAAAAAAAAAAAAAAAAAAAAAAAAAAAAAGAACCTTTACTTCTTGAAAACAAAATGGCGTCCAAAAAAAAAAAAAAACTAGTAGGTTGCTGTAGCAGGGTTGGTCGCCAAATTTATTTTCGCCAAAAAATCGCCAAGTTACCATAATCCGAAGATTAACCGCACTGTTTATAATATAAGTATTAACTATAACACTAATCCTCGGACGCATTCTAAACATCATTCTAGTGCATTTCTCGTGCTATACTCCATATACTATAAATGCTAAAATCAAATAGATCATCCAGGAAACTAACTATAAGCTCAATAAGCAGTCAATCCAAAGTTACTATTGTCGCAGACACGTCGATTCTTAACAAAGCAAGCAACCTTGAATCTCACTTTCACTCCTCAAATCAAAGATCTCATCCACATTAAGAAGTTCATCAGTTATGTCAGGAAGAATTCTCACAGGTAGTACTAATTCAGACTCCGAAAGAGTCCTCCTACAAGTATCTACTCGCTGTGAACAAAGAGAAAAATCATCCGTAACTTCAATAGAACTCTTCCACGAATACCCCAATTATATGCACGACTTCTACGAGGCCTATCTTCAAATGACAGAAGGCGTTTACACAATTTTAAAACAATAGCAATAAACAATTAAGAAAAAATCAAATAAATAATATAAAACAGCACAAAATCTGAAAGGTTTCAGATTTTATATTATGCCCAAACGGGCGTTGTTTTCCCAGGGGATTCAAAACGGTATTTGAAAAGTGATGCAGACATTCAAAGTTATTTGACGCACAATACCGTTATTAGACATTGTAACGCCTTTGGGCTGCTTCTCTAGCAACATAATGTAAAGAAACCTCGCGCATAAAATATCTACGATTGGAAGATGCGCGCGGTGTTAAGTGTCAAAGGAACATACTGAAATCGTTGTGTTTGTTAATCAAAAATACGTTAAAGTTGTACAAAATATGAAATAGACAATAACGCAAATTCTAAATTTGGGCTTCTAGCTGTCCATGTTCCAGTGGAGGACTACGTTATTCAAAATTTGATGTCTCTAAGTATCGTTGTTCTTTCACAATGCGAGAAACATGCATACATTCATGCAGATGCCTCATTATTTAAATTCTTTTAATATAGCTCGGGGCTCTAATGTTAGTGGCAATAATTTGAAAAGTGATACAGACTTTTATAGTGAGCCAACGTAAAATGCCAAAACGAAATTAATAGCCCTTTCGGGCTAACGCCCTTTGGGCTAATAATATTTGAAATAAAAATTTCCTGCAGCAAGATATTATCTCAAATATAATCTGCAAGTTTTAAATTTGGTCTTTCAAAATGTCGCTTATAAACAAGCTGTAGATTGAAGGATATGTTTTCTTTTTAATTCAAAAACGTGTAAAAATGCATGGTATTTAAATTTGTAGATTTCAAAATAAGAACATTGTTAACCGGAAAGGAAAAAACTGTCAGTTATTGCTTTTAAATGGAAAGAAGACTCCAAACGAATACCCGAAAAAGGAATGGACTATTTCTAGTGTTTCTAAATTTAAATACGTATGTATCAACAATAAATAAACCATAATTTACAACTTAAAAAAATCAAAAAAAATATAATGTTCTCCAACTTTTTCCAGCCATGCGGCTAAACACAGAACAATTTGTAGAGCCCTGCATAAAAACTATTTAGCAAGAGATAAAAGAACTACATTGGGACCTTTGATAAAGCATGGCTTTACCTAAATGACTGCAACAAAAAAAGATCTATTTATTATCGAAAACAAAGAGGAAAGAAGTGTGCGAACGTGGTTCTGTCAAGACAAAGAAAGTTATAGTGAGGAGTTTTTGATTCTCGTAAGATTTTCTTACAATGAGACATTAAAAATAAGAAGAATGGAAATAAATGTTAAAATCAACTCAACGTACTATTAAGAAAAGGTATCACGCCCTTTAGAAATTTCATTTCTGTTATCCCAATGACTTTTAATGACTGAAACTTCACCAGACAAGGCAACAAGTCCTATTTCGTAAATGTACCACTGTATTCCTTAAAACATGAAGGCTGTTACAGGTATTCCACCTTTGTGACGTATTCCTGCAAAGTCTCCCTGACGTATCATCTATGGACTGTTGTATCTTTGGTCTCTTGAAAAGGGTTGTTTCTAAAGGCAAACCCACCACTATTGACGGATTCAAGAAAGTAAAGGAAGCGGAATGGGAGTAACTACCTCTGGAAATTTTATGGAAATCACGACGCAGATTTATAACCAAGAAAAAAGGCTATAAGTTCGAACATTTAAAAAAACACTCTTTATATTTTAAACATTAATTAAACGACCCCAAAATTGTTCTAAAAGTGTACAAACACCCTCTGTACATTCGAAAATCGATCATCAATATGTACCCTTCCGATCAATATGCAAAATGAGTTTAAGGAAGCATTAGGAAATTTGCGGACGGCAGCAAAGTTCCGTAGATTCAACCCGATACAAGATTCAGCAAAGAATACTGACCCTCCATCTTTAAAAGGCACAGCTATGCATTCAACAAGAGAAAAGACCTCAAGGCTTTAAGAGATATTCTCAAGCAATGACAACACCATCCATTCTAATCCAACGTTACTAATTTTATACCAAGGAAGAAATCACTAGAAATAAGCTTAGCAAAGAGTTACCACTACCACCATTTGAGTCAAAGCAGACCGACCCCTAGAAAAAGGAGGCATAGCCACAGAGTGCCTATCGAAGGCAGATCTAGCCAAATTGACAAGAACCTTTAATTCTGAAAAAAGGGGAAAATGGGTCAGCACAGAAAAACCAACTGTCAGGCTCCTACTAATTGCTACCCGTAACATGCTACCAACAAAACAAAAAGACATCAAACATGCCTTGGTGTAAGAGCACAGCGTGAGCAAGGACGTGGTCAAAGTTTTACATCGGCTGGAAGGACAGCGTCAACAAATGTTAATTGACTTGGAGAACGCCAAATGGTTGCATCTGCAGTTTAAAAGGCTGGCATTCTAAAACATCATACAACTCCTAAAGCTCTTCCTCGGATGCCAAGTGCGCAGAATCATTGAACATCATAACACGAAACTCATTTACAGATGCTAAGAGCTCGAACACATGCAATAATAGGACCGCAACAAGAGATGTCTGCTGCTCCTGGTGCCATAACGCTAGAAGATGCAAAGTGAGACGCCCCACGATCATCATTTGCAACCATCATTTGCAACTGTTACAACCACGCAACGCTTAGTAATATACCAAGTGCCCACCCAGTATACCACGCAACATGTCATGCATACGGAAAACATGCTGAACGAGTGAGACCTAGCACAACGTAGTATTAATGCCTCCAACTCAATTGACCCGTCTTTCCCATGCCCAGAATTGCACAATAAGACACTTACAACGTTACAGAAAATTTTCAAAACTGCCCAATATGTTGCATACAAATCAATCTGCAAAGAGTGCAGGGAGTAGCAATTTATAACAGTATGCAATTTTATTATTATTTAACAGGATATGGACTTCCTATTAATCCAGTAACCGTCAGCAGTTAATAACGCAACTGAGAGAAACCACACTTTCATCCTGCTGAAATTCAATACTTTCTTCAAAATCCTGAGCTCTATACTGGCTGCTAACTGAAATAATTACAGAAACCATAATGGCACTGGGAATACCAAATGCACCTCCATGCCACACATAATAGAAATGACTAGTAATATTATATAAGGTATTTTTTGCTTCAAAAAAAAAAAAAAAAAAGGCTCTATAGGGTTATGCAACAATTAACAGCAAATGACATGACCTAGAGGATTATTTTGAATCATGCAATCTACACATTCATAATGTGGTTAATGCCGGACCCACTTTTAATAATGCATATAGTAAAGGCTAGCTGGACTTGAACATCTCTACCAGAAATGCGGCATTCCTGATACAGAACTAACCGACGACGAATAGTAGTAGCAGTACTGCCGAAAGCTCCTCGGACAACAAATATATCCACTTTGAACAACTTATATTGTTAGGGTTTTTTGTATTTAGTTTGCTATTTTTAATAGAACTGTAATTAAAATTATTTCATTTCCTCGTGCAATGCAGCCCGTAACGAGTTTTAAAAGAAAACTACACTGAAAAGGTAAAACTACAGGAGCACTCGCATTTAATAAATATATATGTATCTCGTAATTGTACTCTTTTGCTATCGTCAACAACAACGATCGTCAATAAAGAAGGTGTTCGGAATTACGAAATTACGATGCCGGACCGTGATGCAGGCCTCACTTCTCTGGCGCATGGAAGATCTGCATCACGAATGGAAAATGCATCATGGTCCGGATCGTAACCTCGAACACCTTCTTTGATGATGATCGTTGTCTCTTTATTTTTTTTTTTTTTTTTTTTTTTCTTTGTTTGTGTTGTACTCCGAATAATAAACATGTTTTCTCACCCTGTTCGTGTCCTTTTTTTTTCTTTCTTGAATTTTGTGTTGTCGCTACCGTCCCAGGAAAGCGTTTCCGACCATGCATTCCTATGTCATTTCCCATCGTCCAGGTGTACTCTAGCTCTTCTGAAAGTGTCAACGCTATACTGACACACCCTGTGTAAGTAACAATTTCCTTGATGATATTGAAACGTGTCATTTCGATTCCAATATATATGCTGTTAAATTTAATTCCTTATGGATGATCTTTAATGGATCAATAAATAAATTTACTATTGACACCCTTGCATAATCTCAGTAAAATAAAAGTAACAATCAACTCATCTTATTTTCTAAAACAATAATTGAAACTAAAGTCAATGATCGCAATTAAATCATTGCCTGTGTTTCCTACCGCCTAAGATGCAAAGTGTTTTCCTTATTTTAATAATAAATTTAGTAAAATGCTCACCAGTGCCCAAAAGTATAAGACCACTGGGCACCGATAGTTCGACTAGAATTCAAATTAAAGCGAATGCACTGGCTGTAGAGATGGTTCTCTGTTTTATCTCTCATGCGTTAATTGTAAAGCCATTTTTCTTTAAAATATACTCCATAAAGATACCTAATACTAGAGCAGGTAGCCCTAGCGTGCCTTTTTCTAGTTTACCAAACAAACTCCTGTGATGGTACAAACTCGGTTTCCTGTGATGGTTAGAAGAGGCTAAGAGTGTAGATTCAGCCCCCCCTAAGGCTTTGCTGTTATGTGTGTTTGTCTTCTATCTTTCCTTGATGAAAGCAGTGTTCGTCTTTTCCCTTGCATTTTAGGCAATATTCTTCCAATGAGTCATCTAAAAGATAGACGGGTTCAGGCATTCTCAAGGGATATTTTTAAAGCAAGTATTAGGCTATTAAATTGGGGAATAGAATTATCAAGCAAGAAAGGAAAGTAAATGAAAGTATTATTTTGTAGAACATTTATGTCTTTTACGCGTTCAGTTTAAACAAATTTAATTACGGGTATCTGAGGTATAAAAAAATTAATCACAGATACAAGAGTGATTTTAACATTTGGCCATTTATTGGAAGTGCCGGGGAGTATGTGGCCTCATATTTTAGTAAATTTATTAGAATTCTTGAGGTAGTTGGTGTAAATAAGAGCTTCGAAACACTACCAAAGCCCAAAAGACATGGCTTTGTTTAGAAGGTTCTGATTTAAATCAAGTGCTTGTCAGACGACAAATTAAATGTATCTGCCATAGATATTGAGATAAATTTACGAATTCTTCGTATGCTTAACTTCTGTTGTCATAGGTTCTGTTATTTAATTTTCCCTTGTGAAAAACATGAAACATCATTACATTGGCTTGAAAAAACTGATAAAATATATAATATACTAACATTCAGAAGACAATGGTACGTTTGGCTCACATGTGTGGAATCTTCATTTGGATTTTCCAGAATCTTGTTCAAAGCACCTCGCAAAGCCTTTAGAATGATTTTATAGTTGTTGGTATTAAAATCCTAAAAGGAAAAAAAAAAAAAAAAAACTTTATTTGAGATTTAATAGTTCCAATATAAAAATTATCATTTTGCAAACATGGTGGAGGTAATTCTTTTAATTAAAACCTGATGGAAATGGAGGTGTTTCTGCTTTTGAATCTGCTTTGCACAGGATGTCTAAATATCAGGATTACAAACTTGTAAGCGGGATAGGGTGCACCCGGGCGATTCGGTAGCGCATAGCAATGAAAGTTCGGAATACTTCATTTCATCAACGGTCGCAGAGGCAATAAGATGGGCGATTATACGATCGCAAAGTAAGTTTATATTCATCTGATATACGGCGATGCAGAGTATTACAGACGAACAGCACATCAGTTGTACAAGAAACGTTATCTGATGAAACGTCCATCCAGCTATAAACTCTTTCACACCTGCAGAGGTCAGCTGAAATGGGTTCCTCCGTTTCGTCTAGTAGGTAACAACTTGATATTTTAGTGTTACTAAAACTTTTCGATGAAGAACAGCTTCCTGTGTTGCTGCGACCTTCACTGAGGTTCCAATATGATGGGGCCACAACCCATTTCAGCCTTAATATTAGTAACCACTTAGACATTATATTCGGCCAACAGTGCATCAGGTATGGAAACCCAGTTTATTAGCCTGCCGAATTCACGGATCTATCATGCTTCGATTGCTTCTTCTGGGACATATGAAAATATTGATATATCACACTCCCGTTGACAGAGCTGAGGAATTGATTCCATGTATTGCAGTAACTGATTAAGAAGTCAAAAACACGGCCAGAATCTTCCAGAATATTCGTAATTCTGTGAACCGGAGATGTGAAGCTTGCATTACAACATGTGGAGTACACTTGCATTACACACGTGGAGTACAAACCACCTTCTTTGATGTCTGTTACTGAAAGCGCTCTTATCATTAAAATGCATATTTACTAACGTGAAGTCCTATCAGATCTATGTGCACTAACACACACACATGGCATTTCTGACCTCACATTGCTATGGAATTTTGAATCGTTTGTGTGCACATTACCCCTCTTACAAGTCTGTCTAACTCTAATTTGCAACAGCCACTTAGATTTACATTTCAATTTGGTTATTTCTCCTTTCTTTCCTCAAAATAATGGCTGCTTATCTCTCTAAACTCTTTAAACTGCATCCTTTCAATATTAATCGTTCTCACATGATGCTTACATAACGCTAATGACAGAAGTTCTTACTCAACATTTTAATCAATAATAATTTTAAATTTTACGAACCGAAAATAGGAAACCAATCAAAATTAACTTAAACCAAAATTATTAATTCTTAATTAGGCTTTCGTCTTGGAGACGTCTCATTTCTTTCTCAGCATCTCTCTTGCTGGATTGCTGTCGACAGTTTCCTTACATGAAGTGTGTCTTTAAATAAGAAAATTCAATAGAGAATGGGTGTACTTTGTGCCACTTTATCCGTGTCTTCATCAAGCATGTTCGTCTAAAACAAAAGCATTATTTTGTCGAGCAATGAAAGAAATGTTCAGCTAGTTTCAGCAACTGCTATTATCTTTATGCATCCACATATAAATTGCCACATTTTGAAATCAGGCAGGAAATAATTTGTTTACAATCAAAACATTGTTTTGTAAAAAAATAAATGAAGTGTAAATTTAATTCTTTACGTTATTTATTTATTGGCGTTGAAAGCTGCAATTTTTAAGTTAAAAATGTTTCCCTCATAAAGGGAAAATTTTTATTGTGAAGCTATTTACTTTGACAAACACTAACCGATATGTCTAAAGGTACCTGCACCTTCAAACCAAGGCACCACTATGAAAACGTTCGTATGTGAAACTGTTGGTTTCACTTCAGGCCAAGAAAGAAGGTGCAAATACTTGAAAGCCGCAATATGAAAATAAAATTCGTGCTTTGTTGCATGTAGCAAAAGTGCCCTTGCATGAATCATTCATTTAAGTAGCTCCATTATGGAAACCTAACATAGTATGTCCTGAAATGCAATCCGGAAAGTGAGAGTCAATCAAGAGTAGGAAGAAAATACGATTTATAGGTAAAAAGAAGGTAGAAGTGAACAGAACTATACCTACATTGTATACTACTAATAACAATGTATGGACCCACCAGTGACAGAATAGATAAGACCACTGAATACTAGTGGCTTGACTTATGTTCGAATCCAAACAAACTGACTGGATGCATAAACATTTCATATGTAACTAGTTTTGCCTAGAAATAGCCTAATGCTTCTTCCTCCCTTCCTTGTGGATTAATCTCCATCGCCCCCTTAAGGGGCACCCTGGGTGATGCTTTCGGTGATAACCCGGTGAAATAAACCGACATGTTCGGCCGTTTTTTCCGATCAGTGCTTAACTAACCAGTTTCCCGTTGTTGGGATAAAAATTAAAAATATTGATCGTATATTGCTTCATATCATTGCAAGTAAAAAATGTATCTGAAATATCATATTTACAGTGCTGTTATTCTGATTAAGGAACTGATATTCCTTCGCTAAGATTCAAGAAAACATTTACTTAATAGCACAAAAATTTCGGGTCTACAGAGATTAAAGTGAGTATATTTCTCTTAAGCAAATATATATTCATATGACTTACATATGCTATGGCAGCTATATGTTCCAGAGTTTTTGCATCAATATAAGGTAAATGCAGTATTTCTTCTAATGCTTCTTCACAAGAGGTATCATTCATGTGCAGCCGGACTTCAAACTCGTACGTGTGTAGAAGGCGTAGCATATTGTAATTTCCTCTATTCTCTATGCTTCGATATTTTGCCACATGTGTCAGAATATTTCTGAAGAGAAAGAAAAGTTACTATTGAGATTGGCCACTCTTCACTACTTAAATAATATTTTTTCTTGATAAACCTCAATAATGAAAATATTCTGTAGCTTTTTGTGGATCGACATTATTTTGAATTAGTGCATAAGTTAGTGCAGATGTAAAAGTGAATGTCATGATCAGACTCTGTGAAACATTTATAGTTAGCAAAATTCTGTAGCCGAAATGAAGCGTCAGAAAACACTTAGGATACATTAGAAGGTATTTGTTAATACACTCGTGTACAAAATTAAGAGAATTGTCAAATTATGTCTATTTTTACGAAAAATATTAAACCAAGAATATTAATTATGTTCCCGAACAATTCTGCAAATATTCAGAGTCGAATACATAACAGTACACGTGCGTGTCTGCGGAGCTGATTTTGTGGAGAGGATATAAGCGCAGGAAGGGTTTTCAGCTAATTATGTGCTCGTACTTCTTCACGAAATTAGTCACTTCACTTGGGGTGATCCTCACAAATTCCCTCATATAGCCACTACACATAAATGCTATTATTCAGAAATTTCAACTCTAGCCTTTAATTGCTCGAAACGGCGTTCTATCTATAGACAATAAGTTACTCACTTCTAAGGATTATGTTAATTTATCTAACAGTTAAATTTTGCGTTGAAGTTCCTTTCCTGTCTTCCTGAATTTCAACTTACAACTTCCGGCCAGAAAGTAGGTTTAGAATCAAGTTTGAATGCAAACGAGGAGAAGTATTTAACCGTTAAGTTCTACTGACTTCGTTGGAGAGAACCCGTGATTCTGACTAGCCCGGGTTCGCCTTCTTAGGCTATTCCCTCTTAAGCTATTATCACGCTCGTCCGTACTTGATAGCTTCGCCGTTATTTAGAATTAAGAGGCCAACTCTGCTAGAATCTTGATAGTTTCGGCTATATCTTTTTAGTTAAGATTAGTTAAGTTTTTAGTTTTTAGTTTCCTAAATTCAAGCCCGAGTGGCGGCTTTATTGTAAAACTTCAAGATGGAGAGTTCTGTTAAACTTTATTGGAATAATAAAGAGTAATTTCACCCTTCTTACGTGTTGTTCTATATCTCACGAACTCAAGCGATTATTCGCTGATCAGTTCTTAAGATTCTTCAACTTCAACTTCAACTGTAACTTAAAAGTACACAGCACAGAATCTTACACACTTATAAATCATTCTGCGTCCCATGCTATGTGTTATGCCTGTCCAGTCTCAGCTTACTCTTGCCAAACAGAAAACAGTTACAAACAGAAACAGAAAATAGTTACAAACGGCACAGAACTCTGTTCTGCATCAAATTACCAACGCACTTTGGTATATACGAAATGGATTACATTGTTTCGCACATACCTCATGCGCATGACGAACTCAACTATTGTACAACTCCACAGTTTCTATTACCACTTGGGAAGAAAATTCCATGTTCTGTGAGAAATGTATCAAAATCTGAAATCAGAATCTACAACTACAATTACAGTAGTATGATCAACAAAAAACAAAAAGACCAGTGGCAATTTTAAACTCTAGCATTGTGATGGATAAGAAATGTATCATGTGTTGTCTCTGAATGTATTATAAATTTTATGTTATATTTACATTAATGTAGTATTTCTCTTTGTATTTATTATAACTTTTGTGCAAGCATGTAATTACTTGCTGGTAATTGGGTGAGTAGCATTTACCTTATGGATTATGCACCAGCTCAGCAGCTTTCGTTTCCTCCTTCACTCATTTTTAGTATTCTAATTCAACTTTAAAAAAATCTTAATATTTAATTATTATTTAAGATAATTTATCTAAGTTATTGGTAGAATTAAATTTTTCAATTTTCAGTTTTATTCGATTAGGGGTAGGGTCTCACACTCAGGAACCATGGTCATTAAACAAGGTACGCTTCATGACATTCGGCGTGTTTCTGGCAAGAATTGGGGGGATTTTATAAGGTGCTAAGTTAACCGAGTAGTCGCTGATAAGTAAGGATAACGAAATTAGATGGAGAAGAAAAATTGTAGTAGATTAGAGGGAAGACAATCAGAAGTGCAGATGACTACAGAACTCAATGTAACGCCCAGTGTCATCTGCAATTTGTGGAAACAGTTTCAGGGCACTGTAAGAGCATGCTATTGTTTCCTATGCTAGTGTCCTTGATTAAATTAAATAGCTTCTTATAGCAAAGAGGCACATCAGAGATGTTTTCTAAAGTGGTTTGCCTTGGTGGAGAAATTTCTTATTGAAATTGGCTCTTATTTAGGTATATGAGGAAAACCATCAAATCTCCATGAAGCCACCACATTCAAAAGATAGTAGTAGAAGGGAAGATGATACATCAAATCTGAATCTTCAGCTACTTATGAATTTAAACGTTGCTGAATTCTAGAAACGTGAATACACATCCAGTTCTCGGCTGCCCTGCTTTTCGGTACATTTATCACTTTTATTATTTATTTTTTAGTTTCAATATAGCTGGTATGTTTTTTAATCTTTAAACATTGTGGAATATAAGGAGCGATTTTGGGCATAGGACACAATTTTTGTTTTTTAATTACTTATTTATTTATTGTCACCATATGAACACCATAAAAAGGGAAAAAATATCAATAGTTCTATATACAGTATGCTCAGGATGGCTGCTAAATAGCACAAAAAATTCTTGGTACTCCTAAAGATGATCACATTTATTCTTACAACTTTTAGCACGTAGTTGTTAAATTTTTATTTTATTACTGTATCCAATTAAGAAAATCCTAAGTTTAAAATGACAGTAAGACTTTTCTTATATTAAAGTAATAAAATTTGCTAATTCTTGAAACAAATTTTACAGATGTCAGATGCATGTGTTGTATTATTCGAGGATATGGTTGAGAGCTATGAGTTCGTGGTTGTCTCTTTAAATAATTACTCTGGATGAGCAGAAAGAAATTGACAATTTATCATGACAATGACAATTCAAAGCGTATTTATTTGGTGTAAGACGATCTTCTTGATTGTAAAATTGTAAATTGCTTGTAGGGCTTCGAAAATGCGTTTTCGCTAAAACTCCCAAAAAGTCGCCAAGTTGGCAATATATAGCTAAATGTCACCAGATCGGGAAAAAACCGTCAAGAGCGTATTTAACAAGTAAATCGTTATTTTTACAGTTTAAATGCTGCCACACTCAGAACTGAAATATTTGCAATTCGATATAAGAAATAAACATTCATATACAAAACACGCAATTAATACGTACAAAGTAAACACTAAAATTTTTACCGGAAAAGCAACAAATAAAAAAATTGAATTAAGCAATATATAAAAACAATAATGCAATCGAATGAATTTAAATATTTAAAGAAATTTACAACGATAAAATTTTTAACATCTGAAAATAGGTGATGCTCTAACTACGCGTATTTCGTGTCCTGGCAAAACAGAAGTTGTTCCTACTTTACGGGAAAATATTTGTTATAAACCTCATCGAAAGGTATCCAGAGAGGAAAATGAACATTTAAAACTAGAATTAATTATGTGACTTGAGGTACGTTTGTTTATAAGCAAAATATATGTTGTTCGATAAGTACTTTTGCAATTAAAGTAAATATATGTGACGTTGATCTGCTTTGAATAATTCATGGCGGTTTCTCTTGCCAGTCTTCATTGTTGTTTTGAATAGCCTAGTCTTAAATACGCCATCTTATATTCTGTATCTCAAATTTTCATTAATTTTAAGTTAAACGGTAACCTGCAGTAGTTGTTAACCCAGGAACTCTGCAAATATATGAACTGCACATATGATGTACTGTAATCGAACGACGGACCTCAGGAATACCGGCCCAGCGTGCTACCGTTACACCACGAAGGCACGCTAGGGAAGTGGGAAAAATACCTTATAGTACATTAATACACCCAGATGATATTGTTCAGTATAATGCATCATAATATCTTCTTATATCCAAGTTACCATTGACTTCTAGAGTAAATATTCTCTGTAAACTCAAAATCACAATGCATAAAACATTGCTAAAATCCTCATTCAGCACAATCAAAGTCTTGACAGGGTCTATTTAATAACCACAGGTCACAAATACCCATCTTCCGAAGTAACTTTATAAATCCCTTTACAAATTTCAATATTCTATGGAGACTTTTGCTACACCTAGCATCAATAAAATGCTCCACCAATTGATTACAAATTTTGATAGTCAGAATGTAGAAACATTAGGATTTCTGATGCTGAGAGACGTGAAAATGATCAATGCCATCTCCTCGGACCTCTCGAATACGCGCCGAGTGTGTTGGCCATTACACCACGAAGACATGCTAAGAAGGCGGGGGAAATACCTTATAATATAACAGGCGTGACAACAACGTAACTGGTGGTAAGTAAGTAAGTAACCTGTAACAAACGTTTGATTTAAAACCGTTTCAAATGTCAAATTGGAATTTGAATGCAACGCTTATTGTTTTTATTTCATTTATTAATTTCATTTCATAGAAAAAACTGAGTGCGCATTGACGTGAATTACGGTAATAAATGGGGTAAATAAATTTCATAATTCTCAAAAGCAAAGCAGAAGAGGAATTTTGCTAAAATTCATAATTTTATGAATTCGTGCAGTTGCAAAAAATCTTCAAAGTAGAGGTTATTCATGAAAACAACAAACAATTAAATAAAAACCTAAAAGCAATTGGAGTAAAAAAATACCCACCTGATGGTAGCTTCTTTTTCTAATGAATGTTCCTTCGGCATATTCCTGATGACTTCCACTCCAGCGGCAATGGTCAACATGAGTGCATTTTTTAAGCGAGAATAGGGTCCGCGAGCTAATTCTAGAAAAATACAGCAGCGTAAAAAGTACTCATAAACAAATGTGATCTCGTCTCCCGCTTTCAGAGCCAAGTTCCATGTAACACGCGAGAACCATCTGCTAATTTCCGTTACTTCAGCTTCATTCTCGATCGCCTATTTTGAATCGAAAATAATACTATTGTGTAACTGTAAATAATTAATGTGTAACTGATTTTTATACAAATTATTAGCAAAACAGTAATAAATAAAAGGGTAGTATCAGTTTTCGACTTTTATTTACAGATTCTATCACATATAAACCCCTTTCGATCAGGTGGTGAGATAGCTGTAACTCTGATGAGCTCAAGCGGCATGGGCGTTTACGCCAGCTATTCTCTCCTCTTTTGCGACAGCAGCATCCATAATCTTCTTCCAGCGGTGTATCTCGAGTAATGTTCTTACTGTTGATACGATGCATTTATTTTTGTGCATTAGTCGAATTATAATAATAGTTTACAGATGAAATATGGGATCGCCTGGGAATTTGAAATGATGCACAATTTTGCACGAGAGCGAGTCAACTTGGAGACGGAAAAGTTGAAGACACGATACCACTCGAGAACTACAAGACGCCGATTCAACATAGGTGACAAAATATGATTATGGAATCCAATTTTATGGAAAGGAGTTTCTCTTAAACTATAGTCACTCTGGGACAGTAATCACACAATGTTAAGCACGCTGAATTACATCATAGTTCGAATCCGTAAGTCATCAAATTCTAAGCCTAAAGTCGTTCATTGCTACAGACTAGCTCCTTACTATGGGCACAATATGTAGTCCCCATAATACGCATGATGTAAATTGTATACTAAAGCGATGGTATTATGTGTATATAAATTTATAAATCCATGCATTTATTAGTCCAAAGGGATTTCAGTCCCGAAGGACTATTGCTTTCGTTTTGGCATTTTGCGTCGGACTCATAAACGTCGGTTCACTTTTCAAACTGTTGCCACAAAATGTTAGAGTCCTGTATTATATTTGAAGAAATTAAATAATGAAAAATCTGCATAAATGATTGTCTATTTCTCGCATTGTGATAAAACAATGGTACATAGAGCCATCGAATTTTGAATGACGAAATCCTACTCCGAATATGGGCATCTGAAATCCCAAATTTGGAATTTGTTTTATTATAGATTTTATATTTTGTAAAACTTTAACGAATTTTTGATTTACAAACTCAATGTTTTAAAAGCGAGAAATGGCAACGTTATATAGAAAAAAATACTTTTATCTCGCGAGACTGTGTATATCGGAAATTCTAAAGATATGCTTAATTTAACATTATTTTGCGATATTGCTCTTGAACTGAATTTTATGGTTTAAGTGCAAAGAACATGATATTTAATAAATAAAGGTAACACTCAAAACGTTAAAAAAACGTCCCTTTGGACGTAATTTAAAATCTGAAAAATTTCAGTTTTTTTTTTTTTTTTTTTTTTTTATTAGTTTTGTATTATTTATTGAAATTATTGTTTTAGTATTGCATTTGGTATTCAGTTATAGATTTTCCTTAAAGTATGGCTGCCTGTCCAGGGATTGTACTGCCGAGACGTTCAGTCCTTGGGAAGAAGGCAATGTTACGAATTTTGTATATATGAAAATAATTTTAGTGAAATTATACATAAACTGTACTATCTCTTGCACAAATATTATGAAAAGCTTCAAAGCCAAGCTTCGCCGGGAAGGGACATGTGCAAGCGCATTTAACATATTAAGGTAAATGGTTATTGCTAAAATCACGATGGTTTGGGCAACTAATTTTGTCACCAAATTTGTCAAGAAATCGCCAAAAATCGCCGGTGTTTAGCAACGATTTCGATCAGATCTCTGTGTAACTATAATTGGTTCTGTTCCCGTGTAACTGTAACTGTGTCTAGTCCTATGTAACTGTAACTGTGTATGCCTTTCAGGAATTTAACGGAGGAAAACTATATAAGAACGGAGAGAGCGTAAGTTCTCAGTTGCGCTGCAAGGCGTGGGGCCTTGAGAGGCTTTGAAGCGTGGGGCCTTGAGTTGCGCAGCAAGGCGTGGGGCCAGCAATAGCCTTTAGATTATATCCCCTTCTAAAGGATCAGCTCCTGTCACTAAATCGTAAAAGTCAAAATTACACCTCAATCATCCGGCCTATTCTTACTTACGCCTCGCCTACCTGGGCAGGCGCCAGCGAAAGTGACATCTATTCCCTACAAAAAATTCAAAACAAGATTCTCAGGATAATCACCGGGAGCTCCATACTACGTTAGAAACAAAAAAATCTTCATGCTGACCTGAAAGTGGGAACTTATTTCTGATTTTCTGCATAGAATAAATGCTAAATTTTATGATAAAGTTACGCAGAGTACGTCCGCCAGCTTTGCAGATATTTTCCCTTACGAAATATTTGAAGAAGACAGGAATAATAGGCCATTTGCAGCTTTTCTCTTAGATAGCGCAAACACGCAAGTGCAAGATCAACATGTGTATGCTTTGTATTAATTTTATTGCAAATTTTGGATTTAAAAACTATCAGTAGCTCAGCAGGAATCACAGGACTGCCGCCACACATCGGACAGGACAATGCTAATCTTCTGTCATCGCATCCTCACCCGCCAGAGAGATTTCAGAGATAATGCGTCTCAGTATTTTTCTTATTTTTTCTGTATTTTATCTTAAGGTACACACCTTTATGGTGGACCAATTTGACGAGCCCTTATGTGTGGGGCCCCTCATGGGATTCTGTGATAAGCTCTGGTAAGAGCGGAATTAATTCCCGCTGTAAACCAGAATACTAAAGCATCAAGTTCTCACTTTCGCCCAGAATATTAAGAGTTCATTGTATTGAGAGATCACTGTGCGAACTTTCGCATTTTAGTGCGTTTTGCATTGCAGTGTGCTAAACGTTCGTAGTAGTTTGAAGTCGTAACTATTGATTATACTTTGTCATACTGAGAAGGGCTGTACAAGTACTTTTATATGAAAAGTTCTACACGCGTAAAGTGTTTTGGAAAACAAAAATTTCATCAAGATATCATCAGTTCTAACGCACGTAACAATATCCATTTTAAACAAAAGCTTACTGTAAAGAAATCGTTTTTTGATTGCAATTTATTTTCTGTTTTTTAGTCTCAATTACCCGCTATCAATGATGAAATATTTAGTCATTATAGAAACACAAGCAACAAATTATAAGCAAATTATGAATTAAAGATAAATAACTGTACATCATTCAGAGAATGAAGAAATAGTTTTGAATATTCAGTTTTGGAAATTGTATATAATAACAATGTTAATAAGGTGTATTTTACTTGAAACTAAAATGAGAAAACGAATATCGTCAATTCACCATTAGATGCGCCAAGATGGCTAATTCAAAACTCTTTTTTTCTTCCGTCTATTTCAGACTGCAACACAGTTTAAAAAAAAAAAAAAAATGTCGAAAATCGCTCAATTAATACTTTTTATTATTCTTGTTTTAAGAAGGCGAATAGTTTGTTTGTTTATTGGAAAACTTTTTAACTAATCACAAAAGTAATCGTCAATCGTAAATGTCATATAGTCTAAATATAATCGAGGGATTTTAGAAAATTCCCTGAATATTCAGAAATTCAGGAGCATTCTTATCAATGAAACCTGCAGAGGTTTCATTGATAAGAATTTTTTTCCTCTGTATTCGATTGTAGGGTTTATATTTATTTTAACTAACATTTATTTTAAGTTTAAACTATCTTTCCTGTCAAGCCTTACTTTCCCCTGGAATTGCCAATGCCAGAGTATGTAAATTTTAGTAGAACGCGCAAGGATTCAAATTATCAGCGGAAGTATTCTGAGTTAAATAGAATGGAAACGAGTTCGAGGTGTGCTGTTCTTACTTCACGAGCGCGGAGGTAGTTAGCCAGAAATTGAAGAATCCCGCGTTTCGGCCTGTGTGCTTGCCTCGGAGAATCGTTAATCGTTCAACGTGATATTCAAAGTTTGCTGAATTAGCAGCGGTATTGTAAAACGCGGTGGGTTAGTTACGTTTAGAGAACCTCGTAGTTAGAGTCCTTGTTATTATTCTTTTCAGGTTCTTATTTTTATTTTACCGCGGGTCGGCGTAGTTTGTGAAGCGTCAAGAGCACGCAATTGTAATTTCTTAAGTTGAATAAAAGGGACTTAAACCCTTAGCAAGACTCTGTCTAAATTCCAGTTTCAACAGTCACCTCTTGGTTGCGTGCAGGTTGGAGGCTCGCAACTCTACACGATGATAAAAACAGCAAAATTTGATATGCTTAGTTTTTCGTTAAACAAAGATATCTAAAGACCATTTAAAAACTAAATTAAAAAAAAAACTAATATGAATTTTGGAAAAAATTTTAAAAAATCTGAAAGCTTTCGGATTTTACATTACCTCTAAAGGGGCGTTTTTTTAACGTTTTGTGTGCTACCTTTGTTTATTAAAAATCATGTTCTTCGCACTTAAACCCCAAAATTCAATTCAACAACAATATTGCATGAGTATATCTTTAGAATTTTCGAAACACAGTCTCGCACGCTGGACGTAAAAATGTTCTTAGTCCAAAGGGACAATTTGCCCTGAAGGCCTTTTATTTTCGTTTTGGCATTTTGCGTTGGTTCACTATAAATGTCCGATTCACTTTTCAAATTGTTGCCACCAAATATTATCGTCCTGTATTATATTTAACGAAATTAAATAATGAAGAATCTTCATAAATGTATCTATGTTTCTCGCATTGTGATAGAACAATGGTCCCTAAAGCCATCCAATTTTTAATAATGTACGTTTCCACCCGAATATGGGCATCTGGAAGCCCAAATTTGGAATTTGGAATTTGTTTTATTATCTGTTTCATATTTTGTAAAACTTTAAGGAATTTCTGATTAACAAACTCAACGATTTTAAAGCGAGCAATGGCAACAATCTACGGGGGGTGGGGGGACTTTTATCTCCAGCGCACGGAATTGTGTATCGAAAATTCTAAAGTTATGCTCATTTTAAAATTATTTTGCGATATTGCTGTTGAACTGAATTTTATGGTTTAAGTGCAGAGATATCAAATGCGCAGCTCCCTAACGTACGTTGAAGAAGATATAAGGAAAGGAACTTGCAGAATGTTCAATTTTGGAATGTTGTGATTTGTACAAGTGTTCACAATATCATGCAGTAATATTCAGAAATTATCCTTCAAACTACTAAAACGTTAAATAGAACGCAATCCACAGCGCAGAGAAAGCTAATCCGATCAAAAATAACAACAGCAGTTAACTAAAAAACAACGGAGATGAGATGTTCTCTGTCTGGCCTTTTATAGCTTTAAATCAGTCGCGAGAGATTCTAGTAATTTCTGCTTCTCGAGATTTCTGGAAAGCAAAAGAGTAGAATTATGGTTACAGCTAACATAGTAGTCAATTACATTTATTTAAATTAAATATAAATTACCAAGATAAACTTTTATTCAATATTACATGCACGTGCTCTTATATTTTTACTTTTTCGGAGTAGCTTTCTCTTAAAATTTATCACGCACTACATTGCACGGGGAAATAAAACAGTTTTCATTATAATTCTCCTAAGATTAGCTATTTAAATACCAAATTCGTGACAATAGTATTAATTCACTCCGCTTTTAGGTAAAACTTATTATTAAATATCCGAAGCTTACTTGAAGTATTTCCAGAGCTTTGTCGATATAAATTAGCAGTTTAGGGTTTCTTTCTTTGTCATCACCTAGAAATGAAAAATTATAAAGTAACAATACAATTTGCTTAGAAAGGTCCTCCACAAAGGCATCCCTTACTTAAGCATATAGCCTTCGCATCTTTTGCCGAAATCAAATAAATGAAACTATACCAATAATATAATTTAATCTTTTTACTTCTTTTTTTTTTTCCTTTTCCTGTGCAGCGATACATCAAACGTCCTTCCTGCTGTTTAACTTCCATTCACCACTTGTAATTTAAACTTTGTATTTCCTAACAAGCCCTAAGCAGACACTCAGGAATGAGCGTTACTTTAGTTTGGAATTTGCGATATTTCTACATTTTAGTGTACTGTATCTCTACTCTCGTCCCTGGGCGAAATTCTAAGATTTTGATTTTTATTCACTAATATCTTTTGAGGAGGGAGATGCAGCTATACACGCGTAAATGCAATATTTGCAAAGCATATATAGTCTCGAACCTCACTTTTGTGTCCGTATCATTTTTCAAATGTTGCTACCAAATATTGTTGCCATATTTTATATTTAAAAAAATAATGCAATGAATATAAAAATATATGTATAGCAACATAAATAAAAGGATGTTTCCCCTAAATTCTCTATGTATTATTTTTGAAGATATAATACAGCGAATGCCTCCCCCCCCCAAAAAAAATAGTATAGCAACAAAAACAAAAGGGTGTTTCCACCAAATGTTATCACAATGTATTATATTTAAAGAAATAATCTAGCGAATATAAATAAATATATGACAACACTTAACACTTTATCGAGAATTCTAAGGACACCCGATATAACTTCCTCGCGATAGTTTTTTGCTATTGACGAAGTGTAAGATATTTAATTTTTCTTTTAAATTCAATTTCCCTGTTATTGATAACCAAACTAAGGAATTTAAAATCAGTAAACGCAAATTTTTAACAGTTGGACCCGTGAAATTACACTTTAGGTAGATATAATGAAGGCATAGTATATTTTTTTCTTTATTTCTTTTGTGGTAAAAAAAAGGGGGGCTTAAAAATATCAGAAAAATTAAAAAAATCTTCTGGATTAAGCAACACATTCTTTGGGAATTCCAAAGATATTTTTTTTATTTGTGGTTTTGCCGTTGCATTTTATGCGGCGTAAGGGCGAAGAAACTGATGTTTAATAATAAAGTTAAAAAGACAAAAAAAAAACTTTATTAGCAGGGAAGAGTACAAGAGCAGATACTGACTGTGATCTCAACGATAGCATAAAAAACCTTAACAAATTGTTCTTATTCAGAAGTCAAACAACAAAAATCAGCGTTATACCTACAAAATTTTCACAGGACTAGTTTCGATGGTTTTACCGAACCATCATCTTCAGCTGCAAAACCGCAAATGAACAAGATAGGAAATAATGATTAGATAAGATAAGAATGGCCTGGACAGGAGTTATGCTAAGTAGGCGCCATCTGTTGATGCGAAACGAGAACTAAAACATAAATTTCTCTTAAAGGCTGAAAGGCAAAGATTGGATTGGAATTAGGGTCGTTAACTAGGAACAGAAAGATTTTATTGAATGTGAAATGCCTCTAGAAAATCTAGTTTCACCAATAGGAAGATGTTTTTTGAATAATTTTGGCTGCAGAAAAATTGAAAGTGTGATTTACGGACCAAAAAATGCTGAGGCAACAGAAGGCTTCTGTGTTTTCCTTTTTCTAATATATGCCTCATGTTCCTTTGAATGCGAAATTTTAAGTCTATCTTATTTTGGCCAATGTAAATTAAACCACACTGGCAAGGAATCCTATAATACCCCAGGAATTCATATCCGGAATGGGGTCCTTGAGTATAGAAGTTGGAATTTTATTGATGATGGAGAATAAACAACCCGAAAGTTAACTTCTGCAAATATGTGCAACTTATAGCTAATTGATGGGAAAGAAGGGAATGACACAGAATTTTTATAATCTCCTAAAATAAGAAGAGTGTGGCTTTAGTGGTTGAGATGAGAATTTTTTAACTGCTTGATTAATAATGTTGGGTTGAAAATCATGTCATCCGACTAAAAAAGTTTAGTCGGATGATGACATGATTTAAAGTTGTGGTGGAAGGCAAACCGATGAGGTTTACGGTAAACATAGTACTGAAGTTGGATGTGTTACGTGTGACCAGAATGTCGAGAAACGGAAAGAATTGCAAGTCTCAGTTCAAAAGTGAACTTGAAAGCAGGATCAATAGAATTCATTGTTTGAAAGAACTTTATTTAATCATCTTATTACCTTCAAACAGGGGTAAAGTATCGTCTACGTAGCGGAAACCATGCCGGGAAGTTTAAAGTTTCAAACAATTTTGATTCATAATAATGCATGTAGATATCAGCCAGGATGGACTGAGGGGGCTTCCCATGGCTAATCCCTCAGTTTTGCTTGTAATATTTATTTGGAAAACAAAATGTGTTTGTTCAAACAGAGAATTGAGTGAGAGAAATTAGCTCATCAATTTCGATGCAAGAGAAATGAAATTCGCGAAGTCTGGTTTCTAGACATCTTAATGCACCCTCCACTGGGACATTGGTGAATAATGATTTTACATCAAAAGAAAACCATGAGTAAATTACTAGGAGAAATGTTTTTACTTTTTTACAACTCTATTGAATTTTTTATGGTGTAAATTTATTGTCTAAGAGAGTGGAAAATCTAGAAACTAAATATTTAGCTAAAGGAACGAGGCAGTAAACTTGAACTGGAAACCGTAAAAGAAGTTTTTCCGAATTTAACTGCAAGGGTGTTTTTATGAAGGTTAACTGCATTCTCCGTTATAGACCAAGACTTTTGTTCAAGGGCAGAATTTTTGGATATGATTTAGCGAGTTCCAGATGAAGCTTATAGAGTTCATGTTCAATTTGGACAATTGTTGACGTGATCCCTTATCACGACCGAAGTAAGGCAAGCTTGCAATTTAACAGAATTCTTGAAACGCGACTCGAAGGTTTTTGATTAGATTTGATTTGAATAAAATTAGGGATCAATTTGCTAATTGCTAATTGCGTATTTTTATAATGTTACGTATTGTTTTTATTTATTATTTTAATTGGTGCATTTATATAAAATAATTTTAGCATGTATTTGTTAATCGATTTTGCGACAACGTACTATTTGGTTCGTAAGTTTTATTTTGTGAAAAGTATTGTGATTTTGCAATTCTGAGTCGATCTACGTTTGCTATCTCAAGTTAGTCCGCTGAAGACCGGAATTCAGAACTACCCCAATATCACGGCGACGTCGCTGTAACATCGCAAACAAGTCAAACTGTGACATTTGCAACATCCCATCCACGTCACGTATCGTCACGCAATGTCACAGTGACGTTGCCGGTACGTCCGCTTTTTCTGACAGCACACTGTGACATTAACTGCGATGCTGTTGTGAAATTACACTGTGACGTTGTTGTAAACTCATGCTATAATACTGTTGTGAAGTCACACTAAGACAATGAAATAACGTCACAGAGTGACATGCATGTAAAGTGTAAGAAAAGATGTAAATGGCATGTCACACAGCACTATTTTTAAAATGACTGGTAGAATGCCGCAGTAATCTTGTTTTATTAGAGAAATATTATTATTAATAACTTATTTATTAATCCTAATTTTTAGAGTTCCTCAGGTAAAAGGAACAATACGTAATTACATTGTTCTTTTAATTCAGTAAGAAGTCTTCTGAAAATGTTAAAATATTTCCAGGTATTTTATATATAAGTAAATCTTTGATTTTATATATTAGTTAAATATTCAAAGTTTTTAAATTATTGAAAATATTCAACAGAATCATGCAAAATTTTCTGATCATACTAACGTTATATTTCATTATGTCAAGTTAAATAATTGTCATCCATTTATGGTTTAATTCCACTTCTTTATAAAATGAAGAGTTCTTACAAATACAGAGAGTATTATATGTGATCTCAAAGTCACCATATGGTCATTTTCTAAGCATATTCCATTACATATATTTTTTAATATTTCTTGTTCAAAAGCAACATAATTTTGCTTTCTTACTTTATGACTTAGAGCTTAATATTGAAAGACATTTGTATCAAAAGTTTGAGTTCTTTTTATTAGCTTGTTAAACATTTAACTTCATTTCTTGATATAACACGAGATCTTTTTTCTTCTGAAAATTCAGATATTACTTTTTTACCTCCTTGTACGAAGTAAAGAAAGTATTGTAATCACGAAAAATTCCGGGTACCATATTTCAACGAAAATAGTCATTTTGACTGCTATAGAATACAATTTAACGATGTTCCTGCTTGACTGACTACTATACGTAAGGACAGAATAAAGGACTTTTTTCCCCCAAACGAATTATAAAACTAATTTAAAAGGGATTCAGAAGAGATTTTTTCGTGGCGTTTGTACGTACGTGTGTATGTATATATCTCGCATAAATTAAAAACGAAATTTTGTGTATAAAACTGCTATAATATGTAGTTGTACGCCTCCCTTTTTGGTTGCAATCGGTTGCACCAAAAGTATATAAGTAAATAAATAAATAAATATATGTAAGGTCTAACAAAATACAATAGCTGCTTTAAAAAATAATTGGCGATTTCAAAATTAACGTTCTAGATTTGGCGATCTCCACCTAAATTCATCTCTTCTCCCAAATTCGAGATGTTTCAAAGTTACGTAACGCTGCTTGACTAACTAAAACTAATGACTAACCAATCATAGCTTGTTTCTAGAATACTCTACTAGCACCTACTCTGGTATAACCCCCCGGCAGCTAATTGCGTTATGATTGAATAAGTGTCTGCCATATTAATTGGATATGTGTGAAAATAAAGACTGGAAAATCTCAGTCATGTTTTCTATCTTCATCTATGTCTTAACCACAGCAGACGGACATCGAAGTTGTTGAGGTTTACAGCCTCGCGACTGTGCTTAGAAATACGATATTTATAGATATAGAGGTGGTGTGTGTATAATATTATATATATTATATATTGTGTGTGTAAAATAAATTCCATATCAAGAATACACTTAAATTCTAACTGTATGTTCTTTTCTTTTTAGTGGCGCGTTTCTATTGAAAGTACGTGGATTAAATCCACACCCCGTAGTCAAGTGCTTTTCCCGCCCCTTTTATACACGTACGTTATGACTGTTCTGGAAATATTAAAGCGAACTGAATTGGCTAACGAGGCGACGTGATTTCTTGAAGCTCCGCCTTTCCAGAGGCTATAAAGACTCGCAAAGAATATCGGGCTTTTCTTAATGTCACTATGCAGTAAACTTAATGGCGACGTTCTTTATTTGAAAGTCGTGAATTAAATCCACAGCCCCTAGTAAGTGGTTTTTCCCGCCTTTCTCAGTACAGTTATAGAATGTCTGAATATTTAAAGCGAACTGAATGGCTGACGAGGCGACGTTATTTCTTTGAAGCTCCGCCTTGCCGAGGCTATAAAAGACTCGCAAAAGAATATGGGGCTTTTTCTTAAATGTCACTAGCAGTAACTTATACAAAAATTATTAGTAATTCTTTTTTTAATCCGGATTTGATTTTGTAACTGCGATTTCTCCCCAATAAAATAAATGGATCCTGTTATTTTTTTAACTTATCATCTGATATTAGCTACGACTATAGACCAAATTGGTTTTTCACAAATGTTATTACTGCTTGCTGCTAAATTATATATAATATAATATACCACTCTGTTATCAGATCGGTGAGCTCATTTTTATTCTTATATTTTGTTAAATTGCGCACTTTTTCCTTTAAAAGTGCTTGACTTATATTGTTCTTACTTCCGGTTAAGGTTTTTATGCCTTTAGTTTACCTATAGACAATAATTGTAGAAATGTTACACGTCTTGGACACTTTAGAACTTTTTTTGCAGCATCCGAATTGACCATTAGCCTTACGAAAGCCATGAGTACATTTGGTCGTGGAGATACCAGGCATTTTCTTTGCCGTCTGCGACAGACCAATATACAGGAATTTATTATACCAGAAAATTATCTGGAGAACACTGTTCAAGTTTCAGTACAGTAATTAATGTAGTACTGCAGCGTTTTTATGACGATATACAAATATACTATAGGACATATGTACCTACATACTCTTGTTAACGAGGCTTTACTGTATTCTAGTTTTACAAATAGCATATTACTTTTCAGTGCTGAACATTTTTACATGCGTATGTAAATTTCTGAGATTATTTCTAACATTTCTTATATTAGTTCTTTTCTTCCTGTAAATCCTAAATTAACCCAATTTCTTTATTAAAAGATTTAGTTAGAGAAAAATATTGTTACGTTTTTTTTTTTTTTCTTCTCTCCTCTTCACTTTCGTTAGTACGGTGTTCGTGCGGATTTAGAGTGAATAATGACAACATCACTTGATGAAGTATCAAAACACACTTTATTTAGCCATTATGAATCAGGACAGCTCCAGAATCACGTTTACACAGTCGTCGAAAACTACAATAAACACGCTGACACGATCAACGACACAGCCTCTGTCACTATACAACACTGTCAGGCTATAACGATGGAGACAGCTCCACCGTTATAGCCTGACAACTATAACGCTGGCTATAACGGTGGAGACAGGCTATTACGTTATAGCAACACTATCAGGCTATAACGGTGGAGACAGGCTATAACGTTATAGCAACACTGTCAGGCTATAACAGTGGAAACAGCTTCACAGCAAAGCACCAGAGTATAGCTCCCGACTCTGCTCAGTCGTTCTCGGAACTGTACGTACTCTTGAGACTCTCCACGTTACAACTCGCGATTTCTTGTTAAATGTGGCGACCCCTTCCCTTGCCATTTTATGGCAACCCTAAACCTGCCTTTCGGTAAGCTATCTTACCGCACCTGGACATTTCGTAACAATATTTTAGTTCAGGTTAGGCTATTTGAATGTGGCAAATTACAAAAGGGCTGTACTTAAGAGTAGGGATGACCTTTGTGGAGGATTTTTTAAGGTGAACTGTGTCATATTCACGTTACATATTACAGAAAACACAAAAGTCAATCATGCAGAAGTATTTCTTGCTTGAAAGATTAAAAGAATATAATTATGATGTTAAATATTTAAATGGGTACCTTAATTAATTTAAGCTATAACAATCCAAAAATAAAAATAATCAAATTACATTTTATCATTACTCATATATGAAGAAAGCTAAAATCTCACCTGTTACATAAGAGAATAAATTAATAGTAATATGTGTCCAAAAATACAGTTTACTTCATTTTGTAAAGAATCTGAATTTAAAACTATATTTTAACAGAATTTAACCAATTGTGGGAAATTTTATAAATGTAATGAAAACTACTGTAAATCGAAATGTGTATTTAAGACACTCCTACAAATTTTATTCAAAATAATAATTGTATTTTAAATTAATTTAATTCATTTCACGTTTGTAAGCAAGATACTTTATTTTGTTATTAATTTAAAAATTACATCTAGTTTAATTATCTTACCTAGTTACATCAAGTTTTGCTTTGATGCGTCAGCAGCAGAAACGGACAATGAAAGGATATTAGTTTCTTCAATCGTGTTTAAAAAGTTTTGAAAAACTAAGAAAGGAATCATTCATAAAGAAATTTAATAAAACATTAATTCGTTAAAGTGAAACTCTTGCCATCATCCAGCGGAAGAAAAACTGATTTTAAATTATTTATGTAGATTATTTCCAGGGTATGACTGATTTTAATGGAAAATCTAACTTTATGATATTCTTTCTGTTGGGATGGCCCTCGACTTTTTTGCCGTATTCAAGCAAATGAACTTTCTATCGGAAATTAGTTTATGGCAGACAGTCAATTCCTGAAGAGTCAGTCAAGTCAAAATATTTGAAAACTCCGGATAATTAGTGCATTTTACTGTAGAACCAATAACTTTTTTTTTTTTTTTTAATGTAAACAAAGGAATTTTATATTTACTTTCCCCCTTTTTTTTTTTTTTTTTTTTTTTTTTTTTCTTTAACAAGGTTTGCAAATTAATTGAGTTTAAAAATGAAATAATTTTTCCCCGTAAAGCAATATAAAATACGCTTTTTTCCCGAGAAAATTAAGTAGTGGATTTACGTTTATTTTCATAATACAACACATTACTGTTTGAGCTAAAATAAACAAATGAAATTAAGTTCTAATCTCTTTAATTCTGAAATGAAAACTTGTTTTTATACTAACTGTGCAAAAAAAGAAAATTAAAACACTATTCTTTATGTTAAACAAATCGTATAATCTATTTTTCTTCAAGCCGCCCAATCGGTATAGTAGTTAGCTTCGCTGAATGACGTGCCGAAGGGCGCGGATTCGAATCCCGGAGAAGTGTATAGTGTTTGTAAGTGTATAGTGTCGGTGCGGCATAGCGGCACTCTAAATATGCGGCGAAGTCCTCTCGTGTGGTTTGATGGAAGGGAAGAAGGGGAGACCCTCTGACCCGTCCCCCACCCGAGGTGCTCTCAAAATTGGGAGCGAAACGAGCCAATGCACTGTCACCTGTTAGGTGCTCAATGCTGTTGCCAACGATAAGAGTAATCTAGTGCTCCTTGCCAAGAGGAATTTCGTGTGCTTGGGCTGACTACGTCAGACAGGTTATAAGGTATTTCTCCCACCTTCTTAGCGTGCCTTCTTGGTGTTAAATTAGCAATTTTTACATTAAATTAGCAATTTTTTAAAAGTATGCATGGTAAAACAATATTTTCATATCAAATATATTATATCAAAGCAAAAGCTAAAATCATATGAAAAACGAAATTAATATCGCAATAACATAGAAATAATAAATAATCCACGTAACTAAGTATCCGTGAACCTTTGGTTCCTTTCGAAGGGCTCCCGGACTGAAGAGTCCTATCCCTATCGACGCTGGATCACTTTTCGAATGTTGGAAACATAAGTGAGTTCCGGCAGAATGTCCATAAGCAATACTATAGCATTGAATCCAGTCGATGTTGAAGTGGCGATACTTGCAGTTGGGGAAAAGTAACCGGAAGGTATTTCCCAGGAGTCAGATCGATGCGATGAGAGAAACAAAGTTGAGGGCGGCGTCGATGGGCGGAGAGAAGGCTGGATGTGGTGGAAAATCGTCGTGACGTAACTAAATACGTGGTATAAAGTATATCATAAGTAATCATACTTAGGCTAACTGGAACGTCTGGAACATATTCTGTTTTCAACTTTATGCTAAACAAGAAGGAATAGCATTGAATGTGCGTGTCTCATATGTAGTCATCTTTACCTCAAAACATACTTTCCGAAATGTCACCTTTATTCTGTAAAAATCATATTAAAATAATTTCAAATGCCCAGGATAAGAAATGGTTCTGATTGCATTTTATATATTTGCAGAAATTTGTGAATAGCAAAGAATCTTCCTTGATTTACTTGAACTGGTACAAAATTCATTTTACCTCTGGTATTTTTTTTTTTTTTTTTTTTTTTTCGCTAATCGTTTCATTTTTACTGTAATCTTAGTAATAACTTTTAAATTTTGCTTTAATTATTATTAGCCCAAAAGGGTTATTAATCTTGTAACAGCATTTTGCGTTGAATCACCATAAACGATGTACCTTTTTTCAAATTGTTGCCACTAAATATTATCGCTGTCGTATTATATTTGAAGAAATAAATAATGAAGAATCTGCATGAATGCTTGCATGTTTCTCGCACTGTGAAAAAATGGCGGCATCTAGAGCCATCAAATTTTGAATTTCGAATTTGTTTTATTATCTATTTCAAATTTTGTTTATTATTTATTTCTAAATCATAATATATTATTATATGCATAATTACTTAAAGCACTTACGGATCAGACTGAAGAAGACTAGTTGCATTTGGATGAGGGGAGTGAACCTTTACATTAGTTGGGTTCATATCATATATGTTATGGGCTGTGTACCTGTCTAGCATCATAAGAACATGCCTATTCTGAGCCGCCATGCGACGATTAAAAGGAAGAAGCCACGTAATGATGAGCTGTAGATCCAAGCTTTCTTAAGGACAGTTCCCACTGGGGTTTATCTGAGCTTACAGAGTCAGTTCCATGTGTCGATTAGCTCTGCTATGCCTGCAGTTCAGATTTTTCACCTTGCTGTCCTATGGGAAAAAAACTGGTTTTGGAGATGGGTCGGCTATGTCAATTGTCCCCTTTAGCTCAGATAAACCACAGTGGGAACGGCCCTTTATGGTGATAGTATATGCTAGGTAATGCACTGTTTATGTTTTTAAAACAACGTGGTTCCTCGGACTTACCGATTATCCAATGACGGTGTTTATCAGTGCCGCCTGCAGGGACTATGGCACTTGTTAATTTCTATTTTCGAGGGTATGACTTGGGAGAAGATTGGGGAAAAAAATTATTTTCGTCTATACTTGTAGACATAACACGAGATATACTTTTCTCTCATTTGATCATAGTCATACAAAAAGTAGTTTGCTCTTTCTTCATCAACTTTATTTGGTTCACTATACAAATCACTAATGATGAAAATGTGTATACTTTTTGGAACTGGTACAGTCAACTAGCGTAACAACTGAAATCTTGAATATCTAAATATTTTGCAATCTCGTTTTCCTTTGACTGAATCATAGGTCCATTTAAAGGTACATTGGAAGCTCGCATATTGTTGAATCATTCTAGATCAATAAGCGGGCTCAATAAGTAATGGCCTGGTAACTTGAGCAAGACCAGCGCACGGGTATACATCCTATTAAGAATAAGGGAAAGGTAATGAAAGATCAGGATGGGATATTGTGAACATTATTGCAGTTACATTAAATGTTTGCTATTAAGTGCATGTGACATCTGCGCGACATTCATATCCACATCACAATCTGTTATATCCGTAACGTTGTAGCGTGACCAGAAATGTAATGTGATAAAAAATGTAATATTTGGACGTCACTAGAACGTCTCAGCA